TCTTTACCATAGGTTCAATGTGAATGCAATCAATGGGGTTTGAAGTTTCTATTATTGTCTGTTGCTTGCTGTCTTAAAACGCTAAAATCGAATTTTTGCATTAATGGGAACAATTCGTGGATGAGATTGACTTGACTTCTCCCAAAAGTAATTGTGTTCTTCGAAGGTGGGATATTTTTTTTACTTGTAGAACTTAAAAAAAAAAAAGAGGTCTAATTTTGGCCAGATAATTTGAAATATACCACTCGACTTGACGAATGATTTGATTGGAGAATCGAGCAAAGATTTTGGATTTTGATGTTCCAATCGTATCGTAGGTCCATAATAGTGATGGAATTATCATGACAATGCATCCCAAAGAAGCTTTATGTCTCTTATTTTCTTTTGGAGATAAGACAACACAGCAAGATAATTTACCCACATCATATTTACCTGATTTCAATCTCTATAATGACATGATTGATTACATCATGTTGACAACAACAACAATATGAATATATTGATACAAAAATCACTAAATTAATATTTTTGACTAAAAATGATTAATATAGTTGAATTTGGATTCAAGCATGATTGATTTTGATCACGAAGTACGTAAAGCCCATTAATCTAAAAAACCAAATCAACTTCACAAACTTGTTTCTATTGGGCCTTTTTAACGAACTGTTACAATTGGGCCTTATACGGAAGAAATTATTTTATTTTAGTAGCAATTTTGTTTTCTCGCCTATAATTTCGAAAGACCCAGCTGAAAAATTCTCATCGGAAACTAGGCATAGATTCCGATTTTGCCCTCAACGGCTGATGAAATTTACCGAAGAGGTCGCGGTTGGAGATTGAGGAGGTTTGGTAATAAGGGTATCTCTAAAAAAAACCTAATTCCTGCGACGAGAGACGAAAGAACAATCTTTGAAGAGTGAAAAATCCGGTAATAGTTTAATCATCTCTTTCTCAAGTAATTGAATTGGGTTTTGTTTAGGGTTCGTATAAAATTCGGTGATTGTTGTAGTTTCGTTCGATTTTTTTTTTTTAAAAAACCATTCCTTTTTATTGATTATAGGCTTTAAGATTCGTGTTTGATTTCTGGGTTTTTTTTGTTTTGTTCAGATGTCAGCGACTGCCCTCTCGAGATTAAACCCTGTTTCTCAATTTGGGTTTCAAAAAATCGTATCTGGGAAAAGTAAGAGCTTCTTTTCGATTCCTGGTGAAAGGAGATTGTTTTCTGATAGCTCTAGGTTTCGTTTAGCTGGAAAGAGACAAGCCATGGCTGCTTCTGGTTCTTTGCCAGTGTTTGGGGATGCTTGCTTGGATGATTTGGTTACGACTTGTGCTAATGGTTTAGACTTCACTACGAAGCGTTCAAGTGGCGGTGGTGGATTCACCGTTAATTGCCCTGTAGCTAGTATGAGACTTGGGAAAAGAGAGGGATTGATGAAGAAGAATCGATTGGTTTGCCATTATTCTGCCGTTGATCCGCTCGAGAAGAGCCGTGCGCTGTTTGGGATATTGTCTAAGAGTGTTCATACATCATGTCCTGTTTGTTTCTCGTTAGGACCAGCTCATGAGCTGTCTTCACTCAATGGTGGTTCTCAAGACTCAGACCTTTCAGGTTCACAACCAACTACTACATCTCTTAAGTAAGTTCCTTCACACACTTTTGGAAATCGTTTTGTACGATGATTTCAACGTTTTGTGTTATTACCGTATATGTATGTTGAGCAGGAGCCTGAAGCTAGTGTCTGGTTCTTGTTATCTCCCACATCCTGAAAAAGAAGCTACAGGTGGAGAAGACGCTCACTTTATATGCGATGAAGAACAAGCTA